CATGTTCTGTCATATCTAGATCATGGCATGCCTAGACCTATGATAAATAAGCAGAACTGGACATAACGTAGAGGAAAAGTCAAAGCAAAAAACAAGCAATTTTCCTAGAAATCAGAAATACGGCAAAAACACAGTATATACACGTAATTAATGTATGTGTAAATAAACTATGTCAATATTTCATAAAACAGCATCATTAAACCTAAAGGAATGCTGACAAGTTCTCCCCTCTTAGGGTGCATTTCTGAAGAGTAACTTAAGCAGCCAAATCGCATTAAAAGTGAATGGGAGCATGGGCTTACCTACCTTAAATTTGCAGATTTAGGAATCATACAATACATATAAGCTATTGTGACTACAGGCAGAAAATTTCTAAATCTGTTATAGGTGGTGTCTCTGATAAGAAAACACATATTTATAAAACTTTAAAATAATTTAGTCAATCATGAGATCATGTTCATCTTTGAGAAATACAGAAACTTCAGGCTATCACGTTTTATGTTTGTGCATTTTCATAGTCTTACGGCTATTTCAGAGTTCAGGAGGAAGTCTTGATCTCGTACGTCTGCTGAAGAGCAGGAAAACACGTCATAAATCAAGAAAAGAACTATACCATGATGACACTCATTTGTTATCTTTAAGTCTCCTGCCAATGAATATACTGAGGAAGAAAAAATAAAAAAACCTTTTACCATCTGTTAAAAGACTAAATTCAAAACTAATTTCCCTCTAGAAACTCCGAAACAGAGGCTTTAAGTGCAAACTCTTGAAAAATGTGATTCAGTGTTATAATGCTGACCAGCACGAGCTCTATCTGGTGGCAAGATACTGTAGTGCATAAACTAGAGATTATTTTTTGTTCAGCATGACATTCACATTCACAAAGATGAAAAACATCTCTGTCTTCAATATTTTTTTTTTTTCTAGAAAGAACTACTGGATATTAAAGGATTGAGAAGGTTGATGGTGGTGGTAAAATGAGAGGACAAAACTGCCCTAATTTTATGCCAGAGCATTTAAACCATGATTGCTAGTATCACATTATCCAAACCTCAAAGGCTGGAGGTAGCTACTGTTCAGAAGTAGTGAGGGCATACTGCAATCTTACAGATTCTAGGCAGACAGGACCAGGAAGAAGTACTTGAGCTTTCAGCTAAAAAATCTTGTTAGTTAAAATTCAGTAGTTTACAATGAAAATTGGCACTCTGGGTTGCCAGCAACACTTCAACCAAGAGTTGATAAGACAGACTTAACTTAATCTTACTTAGTGTAAGGTGCATTTAAATTTGTATCAGTGGCCAATCAGGTCCTTATTTTCACTAGGAAACCTGTAGTCTGAATTCTTTTTTTAAGTATCAAATCTCTGAACACAGGATATCTCATTCAAAGATGGAAGAAGATTCTACTACATTACCCATTTCAGCTCCAAAATCAAAACATCCTTTGAGCCCTTATTTAAGGATAGAAATACAAACTTTCCTCACACCTGCAAATTGGCATCACTGGAGGTGAAAATACGGTGTATTGGCTTAAACAGCCAATATACTGAGACAATTTCTCACCAAGAAATGATTACACAACCTACTTTTCACATCATTTGGACAGCATTATAACAAAACTCCAGGCTCCAAGTTTAAGCTGTATCACCGTATTCTTTATAGAAGCATTTTTTTTCCTGTTTTCTGCATTGCATTCCAACATATTCAAAGTGACATGCAGTTTATTCCACTATAGCAATCAAAATTCAGAAGCATCTCTTCATATGGAAATGCTTTGTACAGCAGCAGCTTATCTTGAAATACATTCCAGTCCTCAAAACAGTGTGCTTCACCTTTTTAATTATACCTAAAAAAGTATTTATATCACTTTGAAATAGTGTCCAGACACATCTGTTTGCAGTGACACATGGTGCAAAAATAGTCTGTATCTTTGTAGCCCAATAACTGTTAAAGGGCCAAGTTTACTGGAGTGTTGCAAATGTGGATACCATCTGAATGCTAGAGTTTGCTTTTGGGAATATGATGTATCTAGAGGAGCACAGGTAAGTCCACAGTGCCCCACAGAATTGGAGAAGCTGGAAAACAAGTTACTCAGCCAGGAATCCAGCTCTAAATCCAGGTGTTCCTTGGAACGGGATCAAATTTAGTTGCTCATGGATAGAGTGAAAATATGCAGCTGCAACATTTGAGTGGTCAAAAAACCTAAACAGAACAATTTTATTGCAAGATTGTGACTGGATCCTCTAAAACCAAATCACACCCTTTAGATGTCATCCTGGACCTGCAAAACCACAGAGCAAGTCAACAGGCTTTATGCTGACAGGGATAAAGTTTCTCTCATGACTTATTCAAAGAAGTCCTCACTCGCATGTCGCTTAGGAACAGAAGAATCCATTCTTGAGCCATGTCTCCATCCTAACTCTGAAAGATAATATTTATTGCACAAATGGGGTTCCTACCACATACCTCATAACAACCCCTGCCTTTTGCTCTGTGCTGTATAGTTAACTATGGGCAAACAGCTGCACTGCTAAAACGTGTAGTGTAATATTTCTCTAGGAGAGGATTTACCACTTGACAGTAACTCAAGCCTTCTATGCTTACTTAATGTTCCTGCACTGTCCCACACCTACCCCCAGCCTTCTGCAAAACACGATCCTGAAAGCAAACTCGATGCTAGATAAGCACACACCTCACTTGCAGTGTCATTATATACCCCAATTTTGAACTACAGAGCTCACTGCAAAGTGAGCTGCTAAAAAAAACGTTCTTTTTATGACGAGATGGTTAATTCCTCATTTCAAGGCCTAAATAGCATGCTTTTCAATGAAAACTGTCTATTTGTTCTCTGGTTGTTGCAGTGTTCCCTAAAGTTCTAATACAAGATCATCAAGGGCTAATTGTCTGGAAACATAGTTGATGGAAATAGCTAGTCATCCTATAATCTGTTCTACATTAAATCTCCTCAGGGGGCTTGGAAGCAGAATACCAACATCCACACAGATCTCTTGCATTTTTAGCTAGGAGCAAATACTCAAGTTAACAGCAGAACGAAAACAATTATGAATATCCCGTATATCCTCAGCCACATCAGATCTCAATCAAAACAACAGCAAATGCTACAGAAGAAAGCACTCAGCATGGTATGTTCAAGGGATACATTTGTTATTCTTTATCCCATTGACTGCAGATGACCAATGTCAAAAGAACAAAACAGAATTACTGGAAAAAGGCAATTCATGAAAAGTGGCCATTTGGACATTTCACCCTTTCTTGGTGAAAGCTGGCAGGCTTACTCCTAAGGAATAATGACATCTTCTGTTTACATCAACCATAAAGTCCCTAAAGAGTGTAAAGTAAGTTTGGGGTGACACTTATATTTGCCTCAGCTCAGGAAAAGCTATAAGAATTATAGTAATTGCAGAAATATGTCTCTCGGGAAAAGCACTCAAGGCTCTGCCACAGGTATGGGGGGGGTCTGGGTGGGGGTTTTTTTTGATTGCTGTGGGCTAACAGTGCACTGCTGCTCTCAATATTTCAAGCCCAGTGGTAACGTCCTCATACTGCATCATTCCCAGAAGGGAATGTTTTCCTGGATTCCTTCAGTGGCACTATCTTTAAAAAGGTAAAAGCAAACAAAAATTGTTTGGAGGCAATTTGCAGTTAACATCACCTCCAGCTTCAGAAGTGCAGAATCACAGTTATTACCAATGTCAAATACAAACAGATTAATGTAGGCCAATGGTATTCTTCCTCATAGTAGAGTAATTGCTTATGAAGAGAGCAAGAAGCATGCCTGAAAAACACCGAGCACTTTTTTTAAAAGAAAAATGCTTTGCCAGAAAATGAACTTGACTTCTCTAAACATTGTGATGGATACTCTAGTGCTCTAGCAAAATGGAGTAATATAAACCACCACAAAAGCACTTCTAGTAAATACATACTTACAAGATATTGCATAGAAAACCAATGAGCAAGAGGCTTGGGAATTTCAATTTTGTGACAGAAGAAATAACTAAATTGGAACCAAATACAAGGCAAATTAATTATACAAGGGTGGGATGAAGTTAAGTCAAAAAAATAGGAAGAGAAAAGAGGTTAGAAATTGGGGTATACACAGACAAGCGAAAAGGCTGTTGTCAGGCTGCTTGCGAGGGGGACAGGGAGGGACGACGCATTCCTTAAAAATACAAGAGGAGCTCTGCAGAGAAAAAGGTGCCCGACAAAGCAGTGCAGAGTTTCCAGATATTTTATCTTCTATTTCAACAAGCAAAAACTTTAACTGTCAGCTTTTGTGCATACTGTCAGCTATGCTACTTTAGAATTCGACCAGAAAACTATCTCTTGACAAACACGTCACCCATTACACCAAATTTGTTGCTCATGCCACGCAAAACACCTCATAGAAACTTCCTTCTGCTTAAGCACCAGGACGTCCACATGTGGCCCCAACTCCTTTGTGTCTGTAGAGGAGCTGTGCTGGCCGCTGTCGAGGGATGCTGCCACCGCTCTCACCTCCGCCTGCTCGTGGTCTCTCATTCCTCCTGACTGGATTTACACTTTATTACTCTGATTTTTCTACTGCCACTCCTCACCAGGTAAAGCTCACCGCAGACCCTCAGAAAGCCCGGACTAGCGCAGTTGTGCGAGGCTCAGCTCTGCCACCCCTTCGCTTTTTAGATGAGAAGGAAGAGACTCAGTGATAGCGACGCGCCCTCTGAAGCTCCCTTCAGATCTCGAATCAAAGTCAAGCAAACCCAGCTTGCCCGCCTTCCCTCGGGGACTCCAAGTCTCCCGAGTAACCCCTCCAAAATAACTCTACGGATCAGAAAATCTACGCTGAGGGGCGAGGGGACACACACGCACACCCTCTCGGGTAAGCGAAAGCCGCAGCCCAGCTAAACTTTCTTTATGGCAGGGCTGCACCGAGATGCACACCGAGCTGTGCTCGCCGGGGCAGCCCCCCCAAGAGACAAAGGCAGCCCCCCCAGCCCCACTCACATGCCCCGCTGCAGCCGCGGCTCCGTCGCCCAGCAGAGGCAGAGGTACAGGCAGAGGTACAGGCAGAGCAGCCCTGCGCCCATCGCGCCACCGAGGGAACGGGGATGGGGCGGGCGGGAGAAAGGCGGCGGGTGAACGGCCGCGGCTCGGCGGCAGCAGCAGCAACACACCCCCTGTAGCCACAGCGGTAGCCCCCCAGCCCTCCAAATCATTTAAAGCGGCGGCGAGGAGCGCCACTGGCTGCGCG